GCGTACATCATCACACCCAGCTAATATTTTGTATTTTTGGTAGAGATGGTGTTTGGCCATGCTGCCCAGGCTGCTCAGGTACAACTTTATGTTTAATGTTCCAAAACATGAGAGATGGAAAGAGAGATTAAGTAAATAGATGTTAGAGCAAAGAAAACAAATTTTAATTGCAGAATCTAGCTAATGAATATGTAGGGTGCTTACTCGTAACTCTATAGGATGTTTGAAATTTTTCGTAATACAGAACTCAGGAGAAGATGGAAAGCTTGTTCATTGAAGTATCTGAGAAGTTGGAATAAATACTTGGAAACTGTTAAGTTTTTCTTTTCTGAGGTGTTTCTCCTCAAAAGTTTGCTTGATCCTTTTATGTTTTATTTATTTAAAACTGGGATCTCTCTGTTATCCAGGCTGGAGTGCAGTGGTGCATCATAGCTCACTTTGGCCTGAAACTCCGAACTCAAATCATCCTCCTGCCTCAGTCTCCCATGTAGCTGGAACTGTAGGCACGTGCCACCATGACTGACTAATTTTTTAATTATTTTGTAGAGATAAATGGGGGTCTCACTTCGCTGCCCAGGCTAGGATTGCTTGATTCTTAAGAACATGTAGGGACTTAGCTCTACAAAGCTTTCCGCAAACTTTCATAATAGAATTAGTTGTTAAAATTGTGCTTGTTACATGAGCATCTGAGACCTTGGAATAAAACCAAGGTCTGATATCTGGATGTATATTTGAATTTACTGTGTTATTGATTAGAAAGACTCAGCACGACTTTATTTTTTTTTTAATTGTTTTGTGTGTATTATAAAATTATAAGAGTACCACAGCATTGTGTGGTGAGCTCTACTTAGAGCTGTGTACAGCTCAGGTATCTGGAATGTAGACATGCACTGTTCTGATTTGAAACTTAGAATGAAACCCTGATTCCGGGGATGCACATTTGGTGACTCTGTTTTTGAATGGTTCCTATCTGATCACTACAAAATAAAATCAAAAACATTTTCTACACAGCTAAGGTTTAAGGCGGTTAAGAACCCTGTTAAACTGTCTCCAGATTTAATTACTACTCAGTTATGCCTTAATTATAATGGAATGTGAGCACTTACTAGCTACTAAAGATTCAACGTTTTTGAAATAAATTTCTTACTATATTTCTTTTATATTTTCAATTTTTCAAGAATATCTCAAGTTTTCAAGAGAGACAGTTTTTTTTGCATCTGTAATGCAGCAACTTAAAAAATCATTTGCACCTACTTGCTTTTCAATCAGGATTGTCTACATTTTGTGAACATAATATAGGGAAGTGACTGGATTCCGAGGCAAATGAAATGCTGTTATTCTTAATCATTGATGAAGAATTTAAGTTTAATCAAAGCAGTCACAGTGTTTTCAGTGATGTGATAAATAAATGACATTTAAACATTTGTAATTGAATACTACAGTCTATTTTGTGTCTCAATTATATTTGTAGTGAAGATAAAGTTCACAGGCACACATGGTACTTGTAATTATGGAGACCTAAAGAAATTATTACAACGATTAGCTCTTCATTCCTGAGCTGTTTAAAAATCTAAACTTTTAGTCTACAATGAAAGGATTATTTTAAGTAGAAATAATTATGGATGCATAGTTACAAATTATTCCCCTAGAACTCTATATTAAATGAGTAGATCAGTAATCAAGAACTGGAGCCTCAGGTAAAGTTCCTTTTGTTGATACTGTTCTGCTAATTTATTAACTAATTTTGCTGAGTGTTGGGCATGTTTTAATCTTACCAAGGTGACAACTTAGGTTGTTATCCTTTTGATTTGTTTAAATAAATATACTGTTTAGGCAAGAAGATCATGAAAAATAAATTAGTAAAACAATGGGGTTTATTACGTTTGACATTGGTTGTCTAACTGCAGCAATAAATCTTGCAGATATGGCAGGAACAGTAAAACTGGTTTAAAGGGTTACCAGATTCTGTGATACGAACCCCTTTTTACCCAAAGTTGGTAGTTTTTTCTTAACTCTCACTGCTTCTCTTTTCTTTCTCCATAACAAAGATTTGAATAAATATATATATCATTAATGCAAAAAAGGTAGTATATTAATTGACATAAACATAATATCTGGATGATTGGAACAAAGTGCCAAATGTTAATTTAGATGTGTATATATGTAGGCAAGTGTATAATTTGTAAATTGTACACTAGATACTGAATTTTAACTTCAGTTTTCAAAAGTCAGCTTATTCTTAGATGAAGAAAATCTTTAATGTGTTTGTTTTACTGATACTGTAAAAGTTATTGCTAAGGAAATTTGATAAGGATTTCTGTCAGGTTTACTATCAAGTCATCCTGTTAGTTTAGGGATTAATATACTGTATGCCAACAAATGTATTTGCCGTCTTAGTGTATTTATGACTTTAATAACTGTTTTACTTCTTCTCCCCACATCTTTTTAAATTCAAGCCAGATATATAAGTAAGAACATTACATAGTTGATAGGGGGATAATCTGTTGTTAAGAAACTGTTCCATGCAAAGAACTTTGGGACTTTGCACGAGATACTAATGTACGTATACTTGTTCATCTGTGAATTGATGCAGGGACATCACTGTAGTTAGTTAATGGTCTATTACATCTTATTTCATCATATTGTAATATTTGACTTTAATTTGTTTGTTAGTAAACAATAACAAATTTGTTCAGGCAGAATTTATGAGACAATTTTTGCATGATATTTTTCAATACATAAGAATTTTAAGAATATCCTCAAGTTAGGTGGTCAAACAAATTTAGGAAATGCTGAGCCAATGTGTTTGGGATATTGCTGTCATTGTTATAATAACTTAATCTCTTTAGGGTATGTTGTTGATTTCACATAACAAGTAGTCTTACCGTTTTCAGACCTATTTTCTATCCTTAGTACTTTGTAAACAGCTTGATGTACAGCTTCATGTTTTTCACATTTGAGTAATGTGCAGACATTTCTTATGGACTTCCTTTAGTATTATATAAATGTAAATAAACGTACTTAAGTGCAAACTTATGCTAACCAAAAGACAAATTTATACTCAGTTATGTAACCCACAAAATTCCGATTACCATCAATTTCATAGGTGATGGGTACTGTTTTTACATAACTTGCAGGTTACTGTGAGGTCCATAATCCATTTAGTCTTACACAGTACTTGATATGAAGTAGCTAGCTTATGAAGACAATAGTTATTAAATACTTCTTTCTAAGATGCACCTTATAAAATTGGAAGAGGTTTTTCAGGTGTTACACAAATAATGTTGCATTTTAAAGTAGATTATCTTAGATTAGTGAAATTTATTGCATGTGTAAAAGGCTTTTTATATAGTTGTTATAATCAGTGCTACTTCTCTAAAATTTTCCCTGTGTTTGTTTGTTTTAATATTATTTAGAAACTGGCCATACCTGCAGTTATAACTTGTACTTTTTATTAACAAACTGAAAACCTGGGAGGTATAATTTTTCTCCAGTGTTATTTAGACTGTTATAATTTAATGTGACTAGGACTATTACAATCCACTTTTTGTGCTATGAAAATACCAGTTGGGTCACCAAATATGTTGTTTTCTGGGTGGTACACAAAGGCCTTTGGAAGCTCAGGGTGTTGGTGGGGAAATACATTGTAATTAGACAAAATTAATATTTAAGGACGAGTGGGTGATTAAAACTGCTGGATTAAAACCTACCAAAAGGCATCTAAAAAACTGACCTGGTTTGCTAGACATATTAAAAAACTAGTAATAAAGTTAAAAGGTAGCTAGAAGGGGCAGTTGACATAAATGCATGTGGAAGGAAATTGGTACCAAAGGTTCATGTGAGACAGAAAGGACATTGTGTCAGAAGAGAATGATCAGGGCTCAGGCTGCCATATTATTGTTTGTCTTTTATAGTTATGCTAAAACTGTGTTTTAAATTATGCAGTACAGAACTAATGTGCCTCTGATATTTAGTTATATAAGGTTAGAACCGTATCTTTTTATAGAAACATCGAGATGACATAAACTTGCATTTAATTCTGTGGTGATATTTTCTTTTATTTTTAAAATTTTGGTGTAAGGCAATACATTCACATAGTTCAAAAATATGTATGTTTATGTGTGTATACACATACAAGCATGCATACACACAAATACACATTGGAATGTCTTCCTTCCCACTCTGTCTGCATCTCAGGTAACTACTGTTCATGTTGTTTGTGTGTCTTTATGCATATATTTGCAAGTACTTACAGATCTTTTTACCTGTCCTTTTTTTTATAGAAGTAGTAGCATATTTTAGAGACCTTTCCATATCAATTCTTAGGGTATCTTCATCTTATCCTAAATTGCCCTGTGAATTTTTTGTTGGGACTTTTTCTGTTTTGGGTTTTACTTTTCTTTGTGTTCTGTGTTTTTCCTTTATTCAGGTAAAATTTTCATACGGCGAAGTGCACAAATCATATATTAAGTTTAGTTTTGACAAATGCATTTACCTGTTTCAAGATAAAGAACATTTTAGTCATCCAGAAAGTTCTTTCATACCCTTTCCTAGTGGTTCTTCTGGAAACAACCACTGTTTGAAATTTTTCACTTTGAAGTTGTTCTGCCACTTCTAGAACTTCATGTAAGTGGAATCATGCAGTGTAGATACTTTAATGTTCCACTTCTCTTGATCAGAATATTCCCAAGATTCATCCATGGGTCAGTAATTCTTTTTCAAGATTGTTTTGCTATTCAAGATTCTTTATTTCCATATGCATTTTAGATCAGCTTGTCAGTTGCTACAAAAATATTTTTGCTGAAATGGTGACTGTAATAGCTATCAAACAAATAAGCAACAGTCATTAGGGAATTAGGTCAGATGGACATCTTAATATTGACCCATATGCTCTATCTCTATATACTTAGCTTTTAAAAAATATCTTTGAGCAAAGTTGAGTTTGGGCAGAGTTCACAGTCACATTTTGATGTTTTTCCCTTGTGCCTCTTTCTTTACAGGATACCTTCCTTCTTTTTTCAAACTCTGGCAGTCCCAAATGAGTCCTCTGATTCTAGGTCAGTAAAACTGCAGTTTTCTAAAAACCACACAAAAAAACCCTGCAGTGTTCTGTTTGAATTCTAGTTGCCCTGCCTAGCAGTGACGGGGGAATGCCCTTGGGGACACAGCCACAGAAATGCAGCTCTTTTTCAGTGCAGTTTGCAGCTTTGACAGGTGGTCCTCCCTTCAACTTTAGTCTGTTTTTGATCTGTCTCCACTGTTTTCAGATAGTTGATTGTTATATTTTGTTCAGTTTATCATTGTTATTTGAAGGAAAGTTAGCCTGACCGAGGCTGCTCTGCCATTACTGGTAGTAGAACCTCCCTTCTGTTTTGTGTGTTTTGCTAATTGCATACTGTTTTAATTATTGAGAATTTATAATGTGGTTCAGAATCTGGTAGGGCACGTTTTACTATTTTTTGTTAGAATTTTTCTGGTCATACTTATTTATTTTGGCATATTACAGTATTTGGACGAATACCTGGATTTTTAAAAACTTTATTGAAATTGTACGAAATGTATAAATTTGGTGGAAGAATTATCTCTATGATGGTATCTTCCTGTCTAGGGTCATAGGTTTTTCTCTTTGCTCAGTGTACTTTTGTGTTCTTTAGTTATGTTTAAAATGTTTCTTTGTCTAGTTTGACGCAGTTATAATTACATTTATCTAGATGCTGCTTATACAACTCTCATTATCTAGGGAGAATTGGTTCTGGGATTTCCCACTGATAGCAGAATTAGTGGATGCTCCGGTCTGTGATATAAAATGGCATTGTAAATCTGGGCATGTTGACTCACTTTTGTAATCCCAGCGCTTTGGGAGGCTGAGGAGGAAGGATCACTTGAGTCCAGGACTTCAAGACCGTATCTGGCAACACAGTGAGACTTTGACTTTACAAAAAGTGTTGAAATTACCCAAGGGTAGTGACACATGCCTGTAGTCCCAGCTACTCAGGAGGCTGAGGCAGGAGAACTACTTGAGACTGGGAGGTCAAGGCTGCAGTGAGCCTTATTTTAAAAATAAAATGGCATTGTATTTGCATATAACCTATGCACATTTTCTCATACTTTAAGTTGGCTGTTCCTGACCTTTTTGGCACCAGGAGCCAGTTTTGTGAAAGACAATTTTAACATGGACCGTGGCAGTGCAGTGATGGTTTTGGGATGAAACTGTTCCACTTCAGATCATCAGGCCTTAGATTCTCTTAAGGAGTGCCCAACCTAAATCCCTCACATGCACAGTTCACAATAGGGTTTTCGCTCCTATGAGAATTTAATGCCGCTGCTGATCTTACAGAGGGTAGGGCTCAGGCGATAATGATCTCTCCCCTGCTGCTCACCTCCTGCTGTATGTCCTGGTACCTGACAGGCCATGGACCAGTATCAGTCTGTGGCCTGTGGCCTTGGAGACTCCGGCTTTAAATCATATCTGTATGATGCATAATATATAATACAATGTAAATGCTGTGTAAATAGTTGTTATATTCCATATTGTTTTTAAATTTTGTATTTTTCAGTTGCATTATCTTTTAGTTTTTAAAATTTATTTTTACTTTTTTTGATCCACAGTTGGTTGAATACAAGGATGTGGAACCCTTGGATACAGAGGACTGTTTTGTTATAAATTGGATTATTTTTAAAAATATTTTTTCATTATGTAAACAGGCAATGGTTTTACTAGCTAGGAACAAATTTAATATTTTTAAATAAACGTTTCAATTTTGTTAGGTATGATAATGGTGGAACTGAGGCTTAAATATACCCTATGACAGTAGTTGGAAAGTGGCAGAGTTAGAGTTGGGGTCTAGGTCGGTCTGCCTCTAGATTGATTGCAAATTCTTCACAGTTACTGTTTATTCTTTTGTGATTCCTTTCAAGGATTAAATAAAGTACAACTTAAACTTCAGACTCTAGATTCTGGTTCTCATATCAGTCTCAGAATAACTTGAGTGAAATGATCTGATAGCAGAGCAAATAGCCTCTTGTGCCACACTTTTGTTAATTATTTTCTAAGAAGAGTCTGCTGTATACCATTTCTTTAATAAACTCAGACTCACAAGTCTGTAGAATTTAGGTGATTCTGTTGTGATTTAAACTACATCCTGCTATATGTTTCCAATAGTTATTTGACAAATCTTTTAAATCATTAATGTCATGGTTTTTAAATCAGTTTATCTTTGGAAAAAAGGCAAAGGTCTAAGTTAGCTGTAATTTACCTGGCGTTTTCTGACTTTTATTGTCTGGTAAATATTGCAGCCTGAAAAAGCAAGAGAATCTATAAAACACTTCAGTGAGGTGCTGGAAAATTTCCAAACATGTTTTGTTTTGAACTGTCCAGTCACTGTAGCCCCTAAAGCCGGGCATGTCTTGTTCCTGCAGCCTGATGGCTGTGCGACAGCTCCTGTAGCACTGAAACTGAGGATGCCCCACGATTCTGTTGCCTAGCCACAGGAAGCCAGCACTTCTCACCATTGCCCTTTGAAATGTTGATCCAGTTGAGCTCACTAACGTGTACATTTGAAATTTTATCAGCTGCTTGATTTATTTTCAAAAGATGTTTTGAAATACTCCTTTCTCTGCATTGAGGTTTTGATGATTTTGTAATATGTGAGAAATGAACTTTTCAGAAATTATCTTTTGACTAGCCTAAAAAGTACAACTTAGTACCTGAGACATTGGCTATCAAAAGTTCCATTCCAAAACTTTGTTTTAAGCTCTTTCCCTTCTCTCACTGACCCAGAAGTTACTTTGACATGAAGTAGAGGTAGAGAAAAAGGGAGAATTATCTCTGGGCTGCCCATATTCTGGAAAGAAATGTGAGAGAAAAATTTTAAGGTGCTATGCTAAATTAGAATGATTTCAAAATCGATTTCTTTGTCTGTTCTAGTGATAAGAGAACAAAGTAATTTTCAGTAAAACTTAGAAGTATCATGACCAAATAACCTAAAAATCTTAACTGTGAATGTATGTCTATTTTTATAGATTTTTTTTCTATATTAAAAATCAGTTGACATCTGTTTTTAGATATTTTTTTTAAAAACTGGATTATAAAATGAAGCACTGTTAGTAAAGCTCGTGGCACAGGATTTAGATCTTTTGAATAGAGGAAATCGGAAAGGGCATTATAGGTGTGATTCATTGAGCTAGAGGGCATTGGTGTTCACATTTTAAAAACATAATCATGACTTATCTGGAGTCACATGTTCCATTTTATTGGCTTCCTTCATATAGAAAATATAGTAACCAGCACTAAATACCTGTGAAAAAGTGAAGCAATTGTATATTTTCTGGGTGAAGGAAGTATTCTGTACATTCTCCATGTTTTACATCATGGTATTTTGAATAACCATGCTTCCATGTTCACATCAATTTTTTGTTTTTCAATTTATGCACAGCACTTGCTCTGAAATTTGGGGACTGAGTACACCAAATACGATAGATCAGTGGGATACAACAGGCCTTTACAGCTTCTCTGAACAAACCAGGTGAATATTCTGCCCTCTGTCGAATCCTAGAGATCTTGTGGGAGGGGGGGTATATTTTGGAAGACCTATATGGGGTTGATTAGTATAATTTTGCCTAGGATGTTTCCTTAATGTAAAATAAGGCATAGCATTTAAAATATCTGCTTGCCAGTATAAAAAATATATGAAATGTTTCAGCTGATGTTTTAATCAATGCAATTCTAGTTTGAATCTTCTTTATTGTATCCCCTAAAGAATAAGAAGTTTGATAACTATTTATTTGAGCTTGAGATCAGATTATAATCTGTTGTTGGGCTAATTTTTAAGTAGATACATGATCAGTTCTGCTAAATTTGTTATCAAAATCTCATCTTTATACTAATACATATTTAATGAACCCCTTATATTACAATTAACAGTAGGTTAACTCGTTTTTATGTTACTTTTAAAAATCATTTCATTCTCTTTTTTGCGTATATGGTATTTGTTCATTTCATCTCATCATATTCATTACCATCCACATTTATTTGTGAACTATATAAGTATACCTCAGTTCTCAAAACAGTCAAACTGGGTAATGAGTTGCAGTAGTCTGAGGAAGTTACTATCACACCATTGTTGCTATTTCTCATTCTTCACACTAGTTCCTTTTTTGACTGTTCAGTCACTTCCAGAATTAATACCCTTAGAAGCATCTCTAAAATGAGTTTGATTGACTAAACATAGAAGTTGACAAAGTTTTTCCAGTATAAGTGCATAACACTTTTTTAAAAATCAATTTTTCACAAGTAGTTAGCCTTTCATTGGCATTTGAGTCATTTGTGTGACATATTTATAAGAAACATTTGCTAGTGCTGCTGCATACTTTTATCAGATCCATTAAATAGTACATTTTTCTTCTTGATTCTCACTAAAACTAACTAAATGGCTGTCATTCTTTTCTTTATGCTCTTAATGTACGAATTTAGTCCATTTGACTATATTTTTTTCCTAAAGTTCCCTCCTTTCTTTTTCCCTTGCTTCCCCATAGGTCTCTTGATGGTCGTCTCCAGGTATCCCATCGAAAAGGATTGCCACATGTTATATATTGCCGATTATGGCGCTGGCCTGATCTTCACAGTCATCATGAACTCAAAGCAATTGAAAACTGCGAATATGCTTTTAATCTTAAAAAGGATGAAGTATGTGTAAACCCTTACCACTATCAGAGAGTTGAGACACCAGGTAGGAACATTGCAAGTTTTTTTCCTGGTTTTGTATTAAATGCCTGAACTTAAGTATATTTAGGTACTGTTGTGACCCAGGAAAATTTTGGTGTAAAATTCTAATAAGTTACCTTAAATTGTGCATGTTATTTGGTGGTAAAGTGTTTTTTATTTTTTTTTAATTTTTAATGGGGAAGCATATCTTAGAGGGAAAGATATGTCTGTTTCTTGGAATAGTATATGATTTGGCATGAAAATACGTATCCAGGAAATACTGTAGATGGGCAGTCTGCTTAGAGCTACACTGATGTGCTTTTACATGTCTGCTGCAGTAACTGATTTTCAAGCGTTTTGCACTTGGAGTGCTTTTAGAAGTACTTTAATGACATCGTTTGTATATAACCTGTTTAGTAAAGCTTGTGACAGGACTTTTCATTTAGTTAGCTGTCTACCTGAAACTATTAAAAAATATAGCAGTAGCTGTGAGAATTTCCTATATCTGATTTTACAGATAAAGATAATGTTAACTTTTCCAGTGGGAATTTATGAACTTTTATGGTAATAAAATACCAGGATCACATTGTTCCCAAAAGTTTGAGATAAATTAGAATTTGGAAATTTAAATAGTAGACTATGTAAGTTAAAGGCGTAGTCAGATTTGTCATTTTTTTCAATAACTGACACCTAGTTAAATAGTCAAATAGGTGGACCCTAACTTTAAAAATTAAGCTACAACTGCTTTGTCGTTGTCTTGTTGCAAACTGAAAAGGTCCCCCCACTCTCCTTTGCTCTTTGCCGTTAACTTGGATTTCTTGAACTTTTTCAGTTTTGCCTCCAGTATTAGTGCCCCGACACACTGAGATCCTAACAGAACTTCCGCCTCTGGATGACTATACTCACTCCATTCCAGAAAACACTAACTTCCCAGCAGGAATTGAGCCACAGAGTAATTATATTCCAGGTATTTTTGCCTTCTGAATCTCCTAAAACTTGGATAGATACAAATTTTGTTTGTAAGCATTCAAGTATTAGTAAATTGTGGTTTCACTTTTTAAAAAAATGCTTCTTAGTTTTTAAGAGAAAAATCTGGTTTGTTGGGTGAGTATCTTGTGAAATGTATAAGCCTAGTACATTAAACAGTTTTGTTTGGAGAAGAGTTTTACTTTATATTTCATTTTCTTTTGCAGTGACTTTAATCAAAGTACTGTGAGAAGCAGAAAAGAAAAGATCTTAGTAAGTTTGTCTTAGTTGTTGAAGCTAAGCGAGATGCAGAATGTAAGCAAAACAAATGGTGTAGGAAAAAAGTACCTCCGAAGCACATATAACTGAAAATCCACCCATTGATCATTTGTTCTTAGCTAACTTGGTAATATTTAACAGAAATGTAATGTTTTTATAAGAAATATAATACTTAGTTTTATAGACATAGCAATGCTTCCATGTTATACTGAACATCAGAAAACCTCTGTTTTAATTATGTTTTGTCTGTGTCTCAGTAATTCCTGATGAAAAATGACTTCAGCTACATGGTTCTCAAATTTTGTTCTAATATATTATGTGATCCAGTAATACTCCACCATGTGATATCTGGCTTTTTCATTTTTTTTTTTTTTTTTAGGAGAACAACTAATATTTTGTTAACTTTTCTTGTATGTTTCCCTTTTTGTTTGATTTTCCTCCTTAGCAGAAACAGCATGATGTTAGCTTGAGGATTAAGCTATAGTGTCTTGATTTCTTTCTTCCTTTTGTAATGTTCCTCTATTCCACACTTAAAACTAAGAGCATTTACAAAAATTTTAAAATACAGTTTTACTACTTAAATAATTATTTCTTGTATCCATCATGGAAATAATGCTTATTCATTGAAGATAGTTTTTAATCTATAAGAAAAGGAAGATAACTAAGAAAAGAAGTAGTATTTTTTTTTAATAGCTGGTTTTACAGATGGGAAGTGGTTTTTGATTGTTTTAATGTATATTTCTGTGATTACTGTTTTATTCCAGAAGAGGATTTAAGGCTACTTTTTGGGTTTTTAAGAAATACAAACTTACTAAAGTTAAGAGAGGGAGGGGGTGAGGTATAGTATGATATACTAGGATGAGGGAAAACATGAGACTGTGAAACAGGGCAATTGCTAGGTAGAAAAATTTGGTTTTACTTTTGTAAATTTGGCTGCGAGTGGAGTTTTGTGAATGTTGGTGTCGGGAAGGGGAGGCATTTTAAGTCATTTTAGTATGGGAATTACTGTTATTCAGCCAGCAGTACTAAGAAACTTAGATATAAGCATGCAGTATTATAACACGCATACCCAGTAATTATTTGGAAGGATATTCACCAGAATGTTTAGTGGCTTTCACTGGTGAAAATGTTTGGGCTCATTTTTTCTTTCTTTTTTATTCCTTTAATTATTTAGATTGGAATATTTTATAAAGTAGAAAATAGAAGTAAATTATACCCATTTGCTTTTCTAGATAGTGGGGCTTTATCCAGTTCCAAGCAACAGCAAAACCACTTAAAGGAAATTTTAACATTTTCTCAAAAATGCTAATAGCTTTATTATTTATTATCATGATAATGGAAAAAATAGGATACACATTTTTAAGGTTCAGCATTTCTTTCTGATTAGATCTTTGAGATACTGGTTAAACTCACAAAGCTTAGCTCTGTTTAATTTTATTAGCTTTAACTTTTAAAATACGCATAATATGTACGCTTATGTTCTTTATTGTTTGAGTATAGTTTATTAGAATTTTTGTTTTTAAAATTTGGGGGTACTGACACTTAAATGTCGCCCCCTCCCCCTTTTTTTTTCTTTGAGATGAAGTTTCATTCTTGTTGCCCAGGCTGGAGTGCAATGGCACGATCTTGGCTCACCACAACCTCTGCTTCCTGGGTTCAAGTGATTCTCCTGCCTCAGCATACTGAGCAAGCTGGGATTACAGGCATGTGCCACCATGCCTGGCTAATTTTGTATTTTTAGTAGAGATGGGGTTTCTCCATGTTGGTCAGGCTGGTCTCAAACTTCCTACCTCAGGTGGTCTGCCCACCTTCACCTCTCAAAGTGCTGGGATTACAGGCATGAACCACCACGCCCAGCCTCTTTCTTTTGCTAATTTTAAAATTCTGTTTGAATACGTGTCGGTGTTATCTTGAATTGCTCAAAAATGTTCAGCAATGTAAATGTTAAACTGATAAAAATCTTTTGAACTTGTTTTTCCTCCTGAGAATTACAGTTGATGAAATTGTATACATGATTTTATTTTATATGCAGTTTATTCAGCTATTCAGGAGCCTTTCTGAACGTAAATGTTTTATTCGGACAGCATATTGGAAGTAACATGTTAGTATCCTAATGTTTATTTTCAGGGAGCATTTTACCTCTTTATACAGTAGTATATATTTGAATTGAATTCTCTGCTTCAAACACTTAGACTTTACCAGTTAGGAAGCCTTGGAGAAACATACTTTTTAGGTAGAATTCAGGCTGGACCAATCCTGAACCATACTACCCTATTTTAGCCTATATAACTTAGTGTAAGTTGTAAGCCTATAATATTTAATACTTTTATAATCCAAAATCTTGTGTGTGTGTTTGTGTGTGTGCTTTTAATTTTCTAAGTCATGAAATAATGATGCTCATTAGATTGAACAACAACGAAAGACATTGTAGTTACTAATGGTTTTGCAGCCTACTGATTCAGATCTGAGGCATTTTTGAAGTTAGGTTTTTGGCTCTTGCCCCAGAATAATGTACCTATAGGAATGAGCAAGATATGTAGATAATGTCTAAGAAAATATGTCTGGAGAGCAGGAGTTTATTAAAAGTAGATGTTAAGGATTCACCTGCAAAATTTAGACAAGATCCTGAATCATACACTTTCAGTATGCCATATTACTTTTATAATAATATATAATATTATTTATTATTTGGAGTGATTCATTGGTTACCTTTTGTAGCTGGGAGAAAAGGTAGTGAGATTATGTTGCAGCTATGCTTGATTTGTTTTAAACTTTTGTAGAAACGCCACCTCCTGGATATATCAGTGAAGATGGAGAAACAAGTGACCAACAGTTGAATCAAAGTATGGACACAGGTAAAAAAAAAAAAAAAAAAAAAAAAAAAGTCTTTGAAAATTCCTCAGTGATTAGATATACATTTCTTGTATTGTTTTTTGAAACTCACAAAAGATGATCTATCTTGATTTAACATATCTGAACCATCAAAGGGGTCCATGTTGTCATTGAAAAATTACCATATACTCTGCAGAGTAATTGTTATATTTTTTATTAGAGTAAATGGAAAATTTGAAAACATGCACATGCTTCTATTTTTAAGTATTTGCTTCTGTTGAAAGTTTTAGTTAACCCTGTGACTAAATACCTCTCTGTGATAAAAGACCATAATTAGTCAAATAACTGATTTTCAGAGGAATTTGGGGTTGAAGGATAGGGATCAGCTGTTCACTGCTTGAACCTAATAGTGAGTTTTTAATTATAGTAGATTAATTTCTTATGTTTAACTATAAATTCCAAACAATGATAGAGAAAGCTTTAAATCGCATTTCATGTAATACAATGTATAACTCAGCACAACTAATAAATTACCAGTGAAATCACTTTGATGTTGTTTTAATTGTCCAGTTTGATTCATTTGATCCTGTCTGTATCTTAACTATTGGACACCTTAACATCACAGCCAAATATCACAGATAATATATGCTATCAGTCTTAATATCACAGACAAATTATGCTATCAGTCTTTCTCCACATCTTAATACTAACGTATTTTGTGGTTATGACAAATTATTTTAAAACGGGTTACCATTGGTGGGGGAGGGAGGGGTTACAATAATTCTGTTGTTTAAATCCTTCCATTTTTTAGACTCCCAGGTAAAGAAGTTTCTGCTGTAGCTAATCATACATTTGGCTGTTTAGGAGTACCAGATAACTAAGAAAGGTAGATAATCTAATGAACGTTGGAAATAACATGTTATACATCTTAATGCAAATATCTTAATGCAAATGATATTTGACTTTCCACATGTCTTTCTAACATTAGATATCAACTCTCTTCTTGAAGCAATAATATTCTTTTTTGCCTGTGATGGACAGCTGTTACTGTGACATTAAAAAGTGAATGACATGAAAAGATACTGAACATCATAAACCACAGTGAGATACTACCTCACACCCACTAAATGGCTATAATCAAAAAAGGACAATTACAAATGTTGGTGAGGATGTGGAGAAATTGGAGTCCTCATATATTGCTGGTAGGAATGTTAAATGGTTCAGCACTTTGGAAAAGTTTGCTGTTCCTCAGAAAGTTAAATATAGAGTTAACATATGTGGCCAGCTATGTACCCAAGCAAGTTGAAAACATGTCTACTCAAAAACTTGTACATGACCATTTATGCAAGCGTTATTCTTAATATTCAAAACAACTCATGTTCATCAAATGATGAATGGATAAATAAGATGAGGTATGTTTCTGCAAGAGTTATTCAACTATATAAAGGAATGACAGTACAACATGAAGTTTGAAGTTGGCAACATGGATGGACCTGGAAAGCAGGATGTTAAGTGAAAGAAGCCAGATAAAAAAGGCTGTAGGTATTCTAATTAGTGCACAGACACCTATTCAGCAATGTAACTGAAACACAGGGAGCAATAATACAAGTATTGGTTGTGATAAATGAATCAAAGTAAAAAAGTAGAGAATAACCTGAGTCAGCCAGCTAAGATGATTGCAGTGTTAGGGCTAACTTTGAACCCAACCTAATATTTCTGTTTCAGTGGAGTAGTGTTACTGGCTTTCTGAATGACACGTTTAAAATTACTGTATGGCAATATCTGATTCATCAGATGCCAGCAGTTGGTTTGGCTGCCAGCCTCTTACCCAGTATCAGTTTCTGTCTCTGGGGGCCATGGCAAGAAACACAATTCTGACTGATGCAGGGCTCCAATTTAGAATACAGTTGGCCACCTCTCTGTGGATTCCAGAGGGAATCCTGCTGGGAAAAAAATGAATTGAAATTTTTTAAAAGGGCAACCAGAGGATAAATTAGGCATGATGAGTAACTATATGAACAAGCACTTGTTACTTTTTTTTTTTTTTTTTTAATTTAGATTTCTCTGGTCAAGACTTTATTCTTTCTTTATAGTCTTGTGGACATTAGAGCTCAGGCTGGACATCGTAAGAAATTGAAAAGTTTGATTAACCTTTGTAGTATTGGATAATCAGTCTCTTTTCAAGTCATGATTTTTATGAACATATTTGTGTAAATAGGTATATAGAGAAATAGAATATAATCATAAGATGTGGATTTCATAACTCTCAGTTCAGTTTTGTATCTTCTACACACACTATGCTTGGTCCAAGATACACTAACAAAGAGACTTAAAGGGTTTTTTAATCTGCCTGTGTCCCAGAACATTCAATAAGGTCCTAAGATACAATACCTCAGGATGTGGCCTTATTTAGAAGTAGCATCTTTGTAAATGTAATTAAGATGAAGTCATACTGAACGATGGACACCTAATTCTGTGTGGCTGGTGTCTTTATAAGATAGGGAAGAATGCGCCATATGAAGATGGAGGCAGATAACTGGAGTTAGCAGCTGCAAGCTGAGCAGTTCCTAATGGGAAACCCAAAAGCTTATGAGAAAGGCATAGAACAGATTCTTCCCTTTAGCCTTTGAGAGAGCATGGCTTTGCTGACACCTTGATTTGGGACTTATGTCCTCCAGAGCTCTGAGAAAATAAGTTTTTGTTGTTTTAAGCCACCCAGTTTGTGGTATTTTGTTAGAGCAAGCCCTAGAAAGCTAATACGGTGAGTATTAAGATTTTGAGACTATCCTACTCATATGCGTATTTAGTTATTTCTAAGTTATATACACTTTAAAATATAAACAAAAATTAGAAATTGAAGGATGAGATTAAATAGAAAACATGTTTTAATTTTTTTCTTTTTGTAAACTAGTAGTTTTGTGTGCTCCTAGATATTGTTCACATACTCCACTTACAAGACTACTTCTCTTAAGCAAATACATAAAATCAAGATAGCATTGTCAGATTCTCAGCTAGACTACCTGAGTTTAAAATGTTTCTCTTCCATATACTAGCTAGGTAACCTAGTTTTAAAATCTGTAAAATAGGGATAATAATGGCACTTAACTCACAGAGTATTAACAGGCCTAATATTTATAAAGCATCTACGTGTTCCTAACCTGTAATAAGCACTGTATGAATGTAGCTAAAGAAAATGTTAAAAGAGGAGTTAACTGTTCAGAAAAAGGAAGATAGTAAGATTGCACAACGATTTGAAGGAAAATGATTAATTGAGATCCAGACATAGAAGCACTTGACCTTTGTGGTTTAGGATCATCTCTATAAAGTAGAAAAGTAAGGTTTTTGTCAAAAAGGAAGGATTAGACTTGACAATTTCGTGTTAGTTTTAACTATGCCTTATTTCTGCCATGCTGTTACAGTTTTTGATGTAGATGTATAGCATGTCTTTCATTAGGTAAATTTTTTAGTATTTTGTACTTTTAGTGCTGTTATACATGTTTTTGCTTTTACATTTTATTTTCCAACTGTTCGTTCCTAGGATATAGAAAATATTTGATTTTTGTATGTTAATCTTTTCTTTCACATCCTTGCTAAATTGACTTTTTGGTTCTAGACTTTTGTAGGTTCTTGAGATTTTCTGCATATACAAGCATGTCATCTGTTGATAAGGACAATTTTTTTCCCCTAGTCTTTATGCTTTTTCCTTTTTCTGTCCTAAGACCTACAATAAAGTGTTGAAGTTATAATTGTAAAATACATTTTACAATTCCCCCTTTAAGTATGATGTTGTGGATATTTTGGAGATTTTATCTGATTGAGGAAGTTGCTTTTCCTTTTTGTTCCTAATGTTCTAATTGTATTTTATGAATGGCTCTTGAATTTTTTTGTGCATTTGTAAGAGGATCATATAGATTCGTGGTTGGATTTGATTGAATTGTTTTATTTTTGAGAATTTTTCCATCTGTGTTTATGAGAGATTGGTCTATAGGATTTTTTTCTTTCTAATGTGTTGATTAGTTTTAATATCAATAAAATGTGCTGGAGAGGGCTTTCTCCTGTTTTCTGAAAGGGTTTCTTTGAGGTCGGCCTTATTTCTTTCTTAAATTTTTGATAGGACTGAGCATGGTGGTTCTCACCTATAATCCCAGCACTTTAGGAGGCCAAGGCTGGAGAATTACTTGAGCGCAGGAGATCAAGACCAGCCTAGGTAACAAAGCAAGACCTCGTCTCTACAAATATATATATATATATATATATATATATATATATATAGATATATAAAATTAGCCAGAGTAGTGGTCCCAGCTACTTAAGAGGCTAAGGCAGGAGGGTCACTTTAGCCCAGGAGGTTGAGGTTGCAGTAAGCCATGTTTGCACTGCTGTACTCCAGTCTGGGCAAAACCTGAGACCCTGTATCCAAAAAAGAAGTTCGATAGATTTTACCAGGGAAACCATCTCTTGTAGGAAAGGGATTTTTAAATTGAGGATTATTTACATTTTTAATTTTGTATATGTGTTTGATAAACTTGTATTTTGTTAGAAATGTGTTCATTTCATCTAAGTTGTAGAACTGATTGAGACAGGGCCTCACTTGTGTTGCTCAGGCTGGAGAACAATGGCATAGTTGGCTCCCTGCAGCCTCAACTTCCCAGGCTCAGGCAATCCTCCCCATTTTAGCCTCCTGAGGAGCTGGGACCACAGGTACATGCCACTGTGCCTAGCTAATTTCTTTGTTTTATATGGAGATGGGTTCACCATGTTGCCCAGGCTGGAGAATTTATTGATACAAAGTTATTTCTGATATTTGTTATTCCTTTAATGTATGTGAGATTTTAAAACTTAGGATGTTACTAATTTGACTTTTTATTTTTTATTAAAACATCTTGCAAGGGATTTATCAGTAGTCTCAAAGGACCAATTTTTTGTCTTGTTAATTTTTTCTGTTATCTTGGTCTCTTTTCTATTTCACTTGTTTGTATTCATCATCTTTTTGTCTACTTACTCTTCAGTTAATCTCTTTCTA